GCTCTACCATTTTTTAACTTTGACTTTGTTCGTACCTTACATGCAGCTAGGATTAATTTTAATAACACAAATCCGTGTCAAAGATTTATAAGTAAAGTTTACAAAAAACAGGTAGGAGATGCTCCAAGCGTTTACAAAGCCGTCATATAAAGAGGTGTTACGCATTAGCATAATTTTAAGCAAAAGCAGAATAAACAAACCCTTCTAAATGTCGCGTTAAATATACTCAAACAACGTCATTATGCGCGAGTAGCTCTGCTAGCACCGGGTGCGAGAGAAGTGTCACAAAAAAGACAGACGTCAAGCGAAGACCGGGGACAATGCGGCCACCGGGGCGCCATTATGTGCCCCCTCAATGGGACTCTTAAGAAATTTGTTACGAAAAGTTTGATGGGCACCACATAGGGTGACTAAGTAACCAGGTGGGGTAGGATGGATCCTGCTATAGGTCCATGAATCTTACTTGAACTGAATGAACATACAAACAGTAGTTAAAATTTAAAATAATAAAAATTACATTAAATTATTAAATCCTCTTACGAGCTATTGAGATATTTTTTTATCTGTAATCTTGCATTGGTGGGAGACAATTTAAATAATGTACTAAGTATATCACTTTTTAATTACACCTATTATGAAACGGAGCTTTAGTATTTGCGATGTTTTTCACCGCCCTTAACCATCATAGACGTGAAGTTATACAAATATAAAATATGTACATAAAACACGTATAATAAAACTGTTTTTCAAATCACGCTGAATCAGCCAACCCTTGTGTCGCTGTCGCAACTAAAACCGGGGCGTTACTTACTACTTGACGGGTGTTCACAGCGTATTTATTGCTAACAAAATGCTGTAAATTTGTTTTGGGGTGTCGGTAACAGTGTTAATATTGTCCCGTATTGTTGGTTAGTTCTAGCCCGGTGCTACATCTCGCCGATATGTGAATACGACACGGTTGTTACGGAGCGGGGATAGAGTAAGATTTATTATAGTACTCTAAACTCGCGGGATTTTCATCGCGAAATGATACAGTCATTGCACATTTAAGTAAAAAAAAAAATTCTTCTTTTAACCACAACAGAATAACGCATGAAAATGTTTCTTGGTCTATACCGAGCCATTGCAGGATTTAAGGATCGATTTGTATTCTTGAAATATCTTGTTTAGCAGTATTTTTATTAAATTTACTTGATTAATTTAGGACCACATGGTCTATGTGGCTATGTAATTATTTACAAAACTATGAAAAATACCGATTTATATACATAATCAGTTACTTCCTTGTTTTATGTGTGTTTTCGTTGTCTAAAATATTTGTAATAAATCGTAAAGTCGTAAAGCTAAGTGTTTACAACAATGCGGTATGTCTTATGACTGTTTGATATTGTAATCACAGTTGAATATATTTAAGTAATAACAATTTTCTTAGTACCGTAAAAAAAAACTTTTAAAGGTAATCAAAGATAGGCAGAGCTGGTTAGTTATAAATTGATAGTATATAGACGCTTAAACTAAGTACCTGCTAGTTAATGAATAACGCTAACGGGCCACCTAATTGCTCTACCTCCTGAGGAGGGCCTACTACCTCTCCTCCACCTCTCGGTATTCTATAGGATGCATTTCGGAGAGCGTGCGCAGGAATTACACATGCTTTAATTCCTCCCTCTCCTTTCCACCATCGGAATACTAGGCGGTAGGCAGGTCTTCGCCCCTTTGATGTATATATTCTACGCATTAGTAACAAACGATTTGCTTTGTCTTTTATAATGCGTGCAGCAAAGGAGTGAAATAATTAGCCGGCGTCTGTTTTCCCAGCCGAATACAATCTGGACGTCTCAAGGCAAGAGTGAGTAATAGAGTTTTGTTACGCTAAGATAGTACGATTTACCATCAAGGGCTACACCACCACTGACCACAAGGTGGAATTTTGGTTAAGCACTGTCCACAAAAAAAGTGTTCCGCTGGGCGTGCAGCGTAGTAGCGTTCAAATAACTGAAGCAGCACAGCGTGTTATTTAAAGATGAGCCCTGCGACGCTTACGCATAGAACTAGTAGAGAGATTACGGCAGTGTGTAGCGGCGCATCCTTTGTCTTCATACGAATAACACACGCCACATGTTCATGCAGTACCATAGACACGTTGAAGTAATATGTCCTACGTACTAGAAGAGACGCTGAGACTGTGTTGTTTGCAACACGCATTAGATCCCATGGGCTCAAACTTACTTAATTTGTGACAAAATGGTACCCTGTACATCACTGAGCCTTGCCGGCACGCAATGGCGGACAGATTTTGTTCGCGGTGTCTGTTCTTGTATGTTGTATGCACATGTTAGTTCAATGCATAGATAGGGAATAGGTAATATCGAATCCGGACGCGAAAATCAACAATTATTAGAATACAAATCTTGACACTCCGTGTAGTGGCGGTGTAAGAATATTTACCATACCGTCACGTGGGTGTCGTAAGAGGCGACAAAGAGAAACTGAAACTGGTGATGGGTGACGGTATTTTCCTGATAATAACTCAGAATTATAAAAAACTACGGTTGCCAACCCGCCTGTTATTAATTAGCTAATCTATGATTGCTTCGTTGTTCTAGTGGTTGTAGTAGTGCGACTGCTGATCATAAGCTCTTTGGTACGAATTCCGGGTCGGGCCAAAAATCTGTTATCGAACTTTTCCATACAGAATTCTTAGTAGCTGCCCGGAGTCAGAAAGTTGGCGGTATCTCACCTTCGTGCTTCAGAAAGCACGTAAAGCCGTTGGTCCTGCGCCTGACCTCTCTCCGGTCGTGCCGGTTTACCGTCCAATCGGATTATGATAGTGAGGAAATGGAGAGTGCACCTGTGTTTGCGCATACACTTGGGCACTCTAATCCTGTCCTGCGCCGATGGCTAGTCTCCGTTAAGGCTGGCCGCAAAGATCCAAATTCGGTCTGGAGGACATTATTATTAATCTAAGGAAAAGGATGTATGAAATGTTACAGGATAGGATATCAAACCTAACACTTACTTAGCTATTCAGGATACTGGGTGTCGTAGAAGTTGTTACGATTGTTAAACGGACTATAGTATTAATACCGTAATAATATCAGGCGTAGGTTTGCAACAATAATTTTATAGCACGTACTTATAACATAAAATAGGTACTAAATTCAGTCGCACTACCATAAAAATTTGACTAAATCAATTTGGCCAACGTTTTGATTATCGCGACACGCGAATTAAAGGGGGTGTTGTGTTTGTGCAACGGCTCTATTAGATTACCCGCTTCCCCCTCTCCTTGACGAACGATCAAATCAAATAAACAGTCTCACGCCCCGGCTTTGTTCGCGCAAACACATGTAGCTCTGTACAATTATTGTCAAACTAATTTCATTTTACAGTGCGGTTATTTGGTGCTGCGTAGCGGGATTTGAATTTTAATAGAGTTGTGAACAATTTATTTGTTTACAATAGAATATATTTTTGAACTGTACGTATTGCCAATCAAGTTTATAACTATTCTTCCTATCTAGATGACTATCTTGTAGCTTGTAAGCGCAACTGTATCCGGGTTTTATTTCCGGATGAGTCAGAACCAGTTATTGTTTTTATTGTGAAGAAAATATCTATATATATGCTCGTTTGCCCCCTCTCCTATGAAAAGCAAGTTAGGCTTTTGGCTATGTTTCACGCTCCTATCTCGAAAAACACGTTAAGCAGTTTGTGTTGCACCTGATCTCTCCCCGGTTGTGTTGAATTTGGGTCCCATTGGACTATGAGAATTAGGCACAGGCTAAGGTGCACACTCTATCTGAGTGTGCATCTTAGCCTGTGCACACACTCGTAATATAATATTGTTCTGCGCAGTGTCCGAAATTCGGTCTCGAGGACATTATTATTCCTAATGTTACTTATGAGAATATTAGACGATTATGTCATAAATATGTTATTATGGAAATAAATCATAATAAACCGAGAACTAAAGGCGAATACATTTGTAATTATGGTAGCCATATACGCTATGGTATACCTGACAAGTTCACCTGTACAAAAGTCCGAAATCAGATAAAATATTTGCATATTTCTAAAATTACGTAAATTTTGAAACGGCAGTGAGCTTAAATATTTTAACTAGTTTTTGTTTTTAGTACCTAACGCTTATTAGATAGATACGTTAGTTGAAAGTATATAGTGGGCGCATGATATCTGAGATCATGAATAAGACTTCCTTGACTGAGTCGAGCATGGATTTGAGTATTGATCTATTGCTAAAATATCGTCTAGGATAGAATAGAAATCTAGAACAGAAATCTCATACGACACCCAAAATAAGTTGACTAATGGAACGAAGTTCTTTATCGGACGGTACGGGTTTGGCAGATGGGAGCTAGGCGACAAAAAGTTTAAGATGTTTTCGTCACTACCCCTTGTGTCATAGTGTAGACGGCCTTGGCGGCAAAATAAGGAAGTGAGATGGAATAATATCCATTTCCCTCGCACTTTTTCTGAACAATATACTACGCAAGGAACTTCGTTCCAACCGAGTGTTCCACGACACTCACGCATTTGTGTTTATAAAATGATATATACGAGTATCTGTATGTGTTAAGAGTCGTGGCTTCGTCCGCCAGCTGGATTCCTAAGGGTTGGGGGGGGGGGTCTTTCGAAATCAGCAATATTGTAATTTTCAGCTGTTTGTAATATATATTTAAAAATATATATTAGATATATACTGCCTCGTTTGTCTAGTGATCGTAAACGCGTTCGTTGATCATGAGGTCCCAGGTTCGAGTCTCGGGCCGGGTCAATATCAGTTATTGGGTTTATTGAGAATAGAGAGTGCACCTGTGCTTGCGCATACATTTGTGCACTATAATCCTGTCTTGCGCAGATGGTTAGTCTCCGTTGAGACTGGCCGCCGTAACAGAAATTCAGTCTGGAGGACATTATTATTTATTATTCTATATTTAAATATAGGCACATATTAAAATGACTTTTCTCATTATCAGACGGAGCACCGCACATGCTGCGCGTGCGGGGAGCCGATCGCGGACCGTTTCCTGCTTGAAGTGGGCGGCGGCGCGTGGCACACGGGCTGCCTGCGATGCTGCGTGTGCGCGGTGCAGCTTGACCGACACCCCTCCTGCTTCCTGCGCGATCGGCAGGTCTACTGTAAGCAGGACTACGCCAAGTGAGTCAGTGATGCCGTAAAATGCAATTTTAAATTTTGGCTTATAGCGAATGATTTTGATATACCGCTTTTCGGACTATATGAAGCGAATGCATAACCAGAATTAAAGAGCACATGAAAAGAAGCGCCCAGTGCAGTTTAATGTATTAAGGCGCTTACACATTGTGTCATAGTACCTTAAATGCTGGCACTATATTCTCGCGTATTGATTCCAACGATGAGCTACAAGAATCATCCTAGCTAGGCAGGAAACGGTGTTCAGTTTCCGACAGCAGTTCATTCCCGGTACACCGGTTAAATAGTAGTGTTGTATTTTGCAAGCAATAAAAATAAAAAGATTAATGAAAACGAGAAATTCTAGACGGCACAAGTCCGTTTTATGTGTCCAATGTTTGTGTTCTGTGTTAGTGCGTGTTGACTCTTTTGTTTTGTCCTCTTTAATATACTGCCGGTAAATATATTTTATAAAGAATTAGGCTGACAAGCGAGTCTATGGAAGAGAGGTCTATGGAAACCTATACCTATCCTGGATTAAGAATCAAAATGTAGATGCGCGACGAGATGTCACCCCTGAGGATTAACACTGGTATAGTCAAGATAGGGAGCTAGAGAACTATTCAGGCGCCAATATGGTGAATTCAACCTTTAACCCACTTGTTATTACCGTCCTTTATAACGCCACTAATTGAATGATAAATGTGCCCGCCAAATTTATATGTTCAATGTTGTATAAACAAAGATCGTCTTACATTACCGGCATCAGAAACGGTCCGTTTTTAATGTGCACCTACTATTTGTCACAGTGCGTCCATTATTTTGAAGTTAAGACGTGTTTTAAATTATGTCTTATGTCTTTTAAATTAACAGTGTGATTGCTTTGCGACATGGCTTCATAAAGGTAAGTTTTTTAAATACACTTATAAAGTATTAAACTTTACAACGTAGAATCCCGTAAAGAACTGTTATTTTAATATAAATGTACCATAAGATAAACTTGAATTTCACGGTCTTTCATGAAAATTATCTTATGTAAAAACTTGTGGCGTTATAACGTCCGGTAGTAAAATTGACGTTTATTTATTATTACTATTATGTTTTAGATCACTGACGAAACGACCTTTGAATCTCAACGACATAGTTGATGCATTACACAATATAGATTCTGATGACGATCTGCCCAGTGTAATTACCATTTTCCACCGGAAGATCCAAATAACGAAATAACAGACGAAGATTCTGGTGATGAAGAATTTGTGACATTACATAATCTCCCAGGTTTGGTTATTTCTTTTGAGCATATTACGAAATTCATTTCAGTCACTGAACTCACAATCAATTGTATAATGTATTTATTACTTTTCAGGTTCCCAGCTAAGAGCTCCAGCAGAGATTACTTATGATGATACGTTTTCAGATAGTGACGATTCTGAAAATGATTTATCTTTGTCTGTGCTAGCAAAAAGAATACGCAATGCCAATGAATGCTTGCTAGAAGATTTGGATCAACAGATATCTTCTACTTCTTGCTCCACTCCATCTATAAGCTGTTCATCGAGGAACGTCACTCTTAGTGTAAGCAAAACCCAACAGTATACGTGGCGCAACAGGCACAAGTCAAGTGAATTTACACAGTGGCAGGATCGTGAGGGCGCAAAAAATCTACAGTCACCTTTGTACTACTATGAGTGTATGGTAAAAGATGAAGTAATCGAAATTTTGGTACATTACTCTAATCTTTACGCAAGCCAAAGGAATGTTATCGCTAATACCCAAAAAACACTTCAGAAATGAAGTGTTTTTTGGGTATACTTTTATACAGCGGTTATGTCGTGGTACCACGCAGGTATATGTATTGGGAGAAATCTTCTGATACTCACTTTGATGTTGTTTATAATGCCATGTCTAGAGATCGTTTCACAATGATAATGAAACACTTACATTGCTGTGACAACAATGTCATTCGTACAGATAGTGATAAATTTGCGAAACTTAGGCCTTTGTTTGATTTACTAAATAAAATTTTCTCAGACATGGCACCTTTTGGTACCATACTATGGAGGCCATAGTTGCAAATAATTTATACGCGGGAAACCAATCCGATGGGGGTATAAACTATGGGTAGGTGCAACTAGGTTGAGGTATGTTTTTTGGTTTGACCCATACCAGGGACATTCTTCAAATATCCCAGCATGCTATAAACAATTTGGATTAGGGGCAAGTGTAATATTGAGCTTGGCTGATGTTTTACAATCGTGCTACCCAAACACTCAATTTCATTAATTTTTTGATAACTTTTTTTCTTCTATCCCTCTTTCTCACGAATTGAGTAATAGAGGATTGAAAGCTACAGGAACTATTCGTGAGAATCGTACCTCTAGATGCCCACTACCTGAAAACAAGGTTTTCAAAAACACAGAAAGGGGCACATTCGTCTATAAGTCTAGTCGACCCAAGCAGATCTTAGTCTGCAAAATGGAATGACAATAGTGTCGTAAGTGTCGCCTCTAATGCGGAAACAAGCCGCTTCACAAAGCGATTTTCTCAACAATTGAAAAGATATGTGTTTATTGATCAACCTGCTATCATAAAATCATATAACGAAAATATGGGTGGAGTCGATGGAACTGACCAAAATATTGGCTTATACAGAACTTCGATCCGGGGAAAAAATGGAATTTTTCGTTAAATTGTCATAGCTTGGTAATGGCTACCCACAATGCCTGGCAGTTGTACTAAAGCGATGGTGGCGAATACGACCATTTAACTTTTCGTAGAGTAGTTGCCAGAGGATTATTGGAGACGTATAAAAGAACCGAAAAACGGGGACCTTGCCGTACTCCCAGCAACTATAGAGAAACCTTGCGATACGATCGCATTGATAATCTAATTGAATTTGAAGAATCTCAAAGCCGCTGCACTATTTGTAAAAAAAAAACAATTTCATTTGTCGTAAATGTCAGCTATATTTACACCCAAAAATATGTTTTATTTCCTATCATACCAAAGTTTAGATTCTTGGCAAATAAACCATTGTAAGCATATGTTTTGTGTTTTATTTAATTCCAAAAATGTTTTACTTTTAGTAGCCGATCTTACTACCGGACGTTATAACGCCACTCGTTTTTCGCCTTTTCCGGACCACGAATATTTTTTAAAATATTTTTTCATGAATACTACATCGTTTTGGTACAAAATATTAAAAAATCAGTTTATTCTGAAACAAAAAAAAGTTTCAGTAATATCTGGGTTAGGGGTGCGTACAGATTAAGTAACATGTTGTGTAAGTTTTGTTTTATAGCATTGTTTTTCAACATTGAAACATATAACAATACTGTACACATTAGAATAACAATGCAATATAACTATATTTAAAATATAACTGCATTTGTTGTTTATAACTATATAATATATGTTATATGACATTGTCGTATGACATTGTCCTTTGTCGTTCTGCCGTTCGAGTTATATAACATTCGTCCCACTTTATATAACACGTTTTATAACATTAAGCATCAACATTACTGAAACATGTTATATAACATATTATGTTATATAATGTGTACGCACCGTAAGCATTTCTTTTGTTTTTTTTATAGGATGGGGTGACAAACGAGCACACAGTCCACCTGGTAAGTGGTTGCTGTTGCCCATAGACTGTATGCGAATCAAAATGCAGATGCGTTGTCACCCGTGAGGACTAAGTTGGAATGCCTCTTTTCCAGTACTCTTCACCATACGAAACACAGCTGGTATTCTGTGAGAGCGTGGTCCTTCCCCGGTCGAGCCTACGCATTCGTGCTACAACTATACTACTACTCGTATATAGCTGCAGCATGGCTCTACCACGTATAATAATAATTTCATATACAAAAGAAACCACCAATTTGACAGATGTCGAGGGTTGTTTTCTGAATGCTCGAATTTCGTCAACTAAATCCCTTTGCGTATTCTACATACTTACATTGGCTAAAGTGTAGTAAAAAGATAACAACAAGTCAAGTCAATCCCCTAGCTTTAAAATTGCAAATTGTAACAGGGACAATTATAAGATTTAACTCGAAGAATGTTTTTTTCTGCAAATTTTATTTTTGCTGAAGCCATCTTTAACTCCATCTTTTTTTTTACATAATTGTTATTTAGATTATAACATTGTATAAATATGTACTTGGTTAAATAATTAAAGTGACTACACAAGCCAGTAAAATAAACTTATGCCAAAAGTACTCTGTTTGGACAACTAGAGTAATCGTTAGAAGAATCTAATTATAACCTTACCTTTATTTCTTTCTAAATACCCGACTGTCCCAGAAGGACCCGCTTTTTGAGTGTTTATTTTTGTATGTCAATTTATTTGGTCTGCTCGGTACCCTTAACAATTTGATGGATTTTAAGATCTTGTGGTGACGTTAGATACTTCTTAGTTGTGGAAGTGACATAAGTTGTTTACTCTTTTCTGTAAACATTTTCATGCAAACGGTTTTTAGGGTTCCGTACCTCAAAAAGAAAAAACGGAACCCTTATAGGATCACTTTGTTGTCCGTTTGTCTGTCTGTCTGTCTGTCTGTCAAGACCCTTTTTCTCAGGAACGCGTGGAGGTATCAAGCTGAAATTCATATCAAATACTCAAGTCTACTGTCCCTTAGAGCTGTGAAAAAATCAAACTTCTAAGCCAACGCAATCAAAAGATACAGCCGTTTATGCCGAAAATTTTCGACATTTGCAAGGGAATCATAACTTACAGGGTACTTCCCGTGAACTCAGAATCTTGAAATTTGGTATGAAGCAATGTTTTATAGCACAGATAAAGAAAAAATTGCGAAAAGCTTAAATTTTTAGTTAGATCATATAATTAAAATATTTTTAATAATTTTAAACTTATTTACCTACGGATTTGTTCGGAACCCTCGGTGCGCGAGTCTGACTCGCACTTGGTCAGTTTTTTTTATTAAGCTTGTGTTTGTTAGTTATTCAGGCGACATTCGGAATAAGCTTATAAACAA